TGCGTACTATTGTTTGTTCAGATGAACGTGGTAACTTCAGGTGTTTGGGTGTTTTTTTTCTGAGGTCTTGGCTGATTTCTTTTGATTTTCCCATGATGTCAAGCAAAGAGTCACTGAGTTTGAAGGTAGGCCTTGAAATACATCCACAGGTACACCTCCAATTGACTCAAATGATGTCAATTAGCCTATCAGAAGTTTCTAAAGTCATGACATCATTTTCTGGAATTTTCCAAGCTGTTTAAAGGCACAGTCAACTTAGTGTATGTAAACTTCTGACCCACTGGAATTGCGATACAGTGAATTATAAGTGAAATAATCTGTCTGTAAACAATTGTTGGAAAAATTACTTGTGTCATGCACAAAGTAGATGTCCTAACCGACTTGAAATTTGTGGAGTGGTTGAATAACGAGATTTAATGACTCCAACCTAAGTGTATGTAAACTTCCGACTTCAACTGTATATACATTTTACGGACACAGTATATTTTATATGAGTTATCTTGTTGTTTTTAATCCCACCCTTCAGCTCCAGTCAACCCAGCCTTCAATTAATTTTACTCCAACTCTCTCTTTCCTCTTCTTGCGTCTTTTAAATCAAATCAAGCAGCAGATGTCACAAAGTGCTTATACAGAAACCCAGCCTAAAACCCCAAAGAGCAAGCAATGCAGATGTAGAAGCACGGTGGCTAGGAAAAACTCCCTAGAAAGGCAGGAATTTAGGAAGAAACCTAGAGAGGAACCAGGCTCTGTGGGGTGGCCAGTCCTCTTCTGGCTTTGCCGGGTGGAGATTATACGAGTACATGGCCATTAAGGCCAGATCTTTCTTCAAGATGTTCAAATGTTCATAGATGACAGCAGGAGTGAGAGAGAGAGCAGACACCAGATAAGACAGGAGAATTTAACCAGATAGGACAGACTGACCCTAGCCTCCCGGCACATAGACTATTGCAGCATAGATACTGGAGGCTGAGGGTAGCCGGCCAGGCAGAGACAGCAAGGGCGGTTCTTCCCTCCAGTGCCTTGCCGTTCACCTTCGCACCACTGGGCCAGACTACACTCAATCATAGGACCTACTGAAGAGATGAGTCTTCAGTAAAGACTTAAAGGTCGAGACCGAGTCTACGTCTCTCACGGATAGGCAGACCATTCCATAAAAATTGAGCTATATAGGAGAATGCCCTTTCTCCAGCTATTTGCTTCGATATTCTAGGGACAATAAGGAGGTGTCTTGTGACCGTAGTGTACATGTAGGTATGTACAGCAGGACCAAATCGAAGAGATATGTAGGACAAAGTCAATGTAATGCTTTGTAGGTTAGCAGTAAAACTTTGAAATCAGCCCTAGCCTTAACAGGAAGCCAGTGTAAAGAGGCTAGCACTGGAGTAATATGATCTAATTCTTTGGTTCTAGTCAAGATTCTAGCAGCTGTATTTAGCACAAACTGAGGTTTTAGTGCTTTATCCGGGTAGCCGGAGAGTAGAGCATTGCAGTAGTCTAATCTAGAAGTGACAAAAGCATGTATTTGCTTCTCTGCATCATTTTTGGACAAAAGGTTTCCGATTTTTGTAATGTTACGAAGATGGAAAAAAGCTGCCCTTGAAATATTCTTGATATGTTCGTCAAAAGAGGGATCAGGGTCCAGAGTAATGCTGAGGTCCTTCACTGTTTTATTTGAGATGACTGTACAACCATCAAGATTAATTGTCAAATCAAACAGCATATCTCTTTGTTTCTTGGGACCTAGAACTAACATCTCTATTTTATCAGAGTTTAAAAGTAAAACATTTGCCGCCATCCACTTCCTTATGTCAGAAACACAGACTTCCATGGGAAGGCAATTTTGGGGCTTCACCATGTTTCATTGAAATGTACAACTGTGTGTCGTCCGCATAGCAGTGAAAGTTGGCATTGTGTTTCCGAATGACATCACCAAGAGGTAGAATTTATAGTGAAAATAATAGTGGTCCTAAAAAGGAACCGTGAGGAACACCGAAACGTACAATTGATTTTTCAGAGAAAAAACCATCCACAGAGACGAACTGATATCTTTCCGACAGATGAGATCTAAACCAGGCAATAACTTGTCCGTGTAGACCAATTAAGGTTTCCAATCTCTCCAAAAGAATGTGGTGATCGATGGTTTCAAAAGCGGCACTAAGGTCTAGGAGCACAAGGACAAATGCAGAGCCTTGGTCTGACGCCATTCAAAAGTAATTTAACACCTTCACGAGTGCAGTCTCAGTACTATGATGGGGTCTAAAACCAGACTGGAGCGTTTCATATACATGATTTGTCTTTTGACCTCACTCTTTCCCAGTCCCCTCCCACTCACAAGACAGGTAATACGCTTGACCTCATCTTTACTAGAGGCTGTTTGCCTACTAATATCACTGCAACCCCCCTCCAGGTCTCTACTTTGTTTCCTTTTCTGTCTCCCTTTCCTCCAACCCTAGCCATTCAGCCCCTACACATATGGTCATGCGCCATCACAATCTTCTCTCACTCTCTCTCACTACTCTCTCCTCTTCTATCATATCATCTCTCCCTTCTGCTATATCCTTCTCCCTCCTGATTCTGCCTCTTCAACCCTACTCTCCTCCCTTTCCGCATCCTATGACTCACACTGTCCCCTTTCCTCCCGGCCGGCTCGGCCCTCCCCTCCTGCTCCGTGGCTAAGTGACTCACTGCGAGCTTACAGAACAGGGCTGTGAGCAGCTGATCGAAAATGGAGGAAAACTAAACATCTGGAGGACCTATGATCCTTTTACTCCCTCCTCTCTACCTTCTCTTACTCTGTATCCACTGCTAAAACCACTTTCTATTACTCTAAATGTCAAGCTTCTGCCTCTAACCCTAGGCAACGCTTTTCCACCTTCACCTCCCTCCGTAATTCTCCACCCCCTCTCCCTCCCTCTGCGTGGATGACTTTGTCAACCACTTTGAAAAGAAGGTTGACGACATCCACTCCTCATTCACTCAGCCTATTGAGTCCACTGGTCCCACTCACACAGAACTACCCTACGCCTTGACCTCTTTCTCCCCTCTCTCTCCAGATGAAATCCTGTGACTAGAGAGGTTCGGCCACCTGCTTGCTCAACCCCATCCCCTCCTCCCTTCTCCAGACCACCTCTGGAGACCTTCTCCCACTCCTCACTTCCCTCATCAACTCATCCCTGACCACTGGCTACGTCCCCTCTTACTTCAAAATGTCCCGAATTGCTCCCTTCCTCAAGAAACCAACACTCGACTCTGACGTCAAAAACTACAGACCGGTATTGCTTCTTAATTTTCTTTCCAAAACACTTGAGCGTGCTGTCTCTGACCCACTCTCTCACTGTCTCTCTCAGAATTATCTTCTTGACCCTAACCAGTCAGGCTTCAAGACGGGTCACTCAACTGAGACTGCTCTTCTCTGTGTTACGGAGGCTCTCCGCACTGCAAAAGCTGACTCTCTCTCCTCTGTTCTCATCTTCTTAGATCTATCCTCTGCCTTCGACACTGTGAACCATTAGATCCCCGAATACACCCTCTGAGAGCTGGGTGGCTCAGGCTCTGTACACTCTTGGATTGAATCCTACCTGGCAGGCCGCTCCTACCAGGTGACATGGAGACGATCTTTGTATGCACCACGTACTCTCACTACCGATGTCTACCAGGACTTGGCTCTGGGCCCTGTGTATACACCAAGTCACTCGGCTCCGTCATATCCTCACACTCTCCTATCATTGCTATGCGGATGACAGTCAACTACTTTTCTCCTCCCCCCTTCTGACACCAAGGTGGCGACACGCATCTCTGCGTGCCTGGCAGATATCTCAGCTTGGATATCGGCACACCACCTCAAACTCAACCTCGACAAGATGGAGCTGCTCTTCCACCTCTTCATCACGGTTGACAACTCCACAGTTTCCCCCTTCCAGAGTGAAAATCACCTTGGTGTGACCCTGGACAACACCCTGTCGTTCTCTGCAAACATCACAGTGACTTGCTCCTGCAGGTTAATGCTCTACAACATATGTAGAGTACAACCCTACCTCACACAGGAAGCAGTGCAGGTCCTAATCCAGGCACTTGTCATCTCCTGTCTGGACTACTGCAACTCGCTGTTGGCTGGGCTCCCTGCTTGTGCCATCAAACCCCTGCAACTTACCCAAAACACTGCAGCCTGCCTGGTGTTCAACCTTCCCAAGTTCTCCCATGTTATCCCACCCCTCCACACACTCCACTGGTGTCAAAGCTCGCATCCACTACAATACCATGGTACTTGCCTACGGACCAGCAAGAGGAACTGCCCCTCTGTACCTTCAGGATATGCTCAAACCCTACACCCCAACCTGAGCACTCCGTTCCGCCACTTCTGGTCTCTTGGCCCTTTCACCCCTACGGGACAGCAACTGCCACTCAGCCTAGTCCAAGCTCTTCTCTGTCCTGGCACCCCAATGGTGGAACCAGCTTCACCCTGAAGCTAGGACAGCAGAGTCCCTGCCTATCTTCCGAAAAACATCTTAAACCCTAACTCTTCAAATAGTATTTTAAAGAATACCCCCCCCCCCCCCCCCCCCCTTACTTAAATAATCCCCCCTTATAAGCCTTTTGTGACCCCCACCGCTTTAGTGAGGAAAAATGTACTTACTATGACTGTGATATGTGGTCCCACCTGGCTATATTAAGATGAATGCTCTAACTGTAAGTCGCTCTGGATAAGAGTGTCTGCTAAATGACTAAAATGTAAATATGACAAATATGTATCATTGTTAATGTTCAGACAATTATTGTTCATACATCATGAATAAACACAGGCTAATTACTTTTCTACAATTACGTGGGGTACTTTTATTTTGAACTTTTCCTAAACCGTGCCCCGGAAGTACTTTTTTAGTGTTGCTGACGAAACACTAATTACTTTCTGGATGTACCGTTGTATTTGCCATTTCCACATGTATTTATTTTATTGCATGTTGATAACAGCTGTATGCTGTTAGATTTGTTGTTTATTAGCCTTACATACATTTGATAACTTTTCTATCATGAACAAACGAGTCAAAGCTACTGCCAGTACGGGTAGGGGTTGTTTGTAAAAGTAACGTTAGGTAGCTGTTTTTTCGTTTGTTTTTTTACAGTCTATGCTATTAACCCTGGCTAACGTTAGCTGGAGTAGCTCAAATTCTTACTAGTAACTTACTAGTATAGCTAACTACATTCATTTCATGTTCATATCATGTTGGCTTTCTTTCTAAATGGAGCTTGCTAGTTAGCTATTGCTGCTAAATATAGTAAAGCCAAAGACTATAACTCTCATCTGTGTGTTATAGCCTTGATATTGTAGTCAAATATGTTTTTTTTTTAATGCAACTACAGCCTAACATTTTTTTGTTCTCTCTTCTTTCCATAGGCCCCCCTCTTCCTCTCTCCTCTTTGCGACTCTTGGTTTCTCCCCTGCGGCTGATGTATTCATTTGTATGGCATGTGGTGAATCAACGAAATGTGATGCACTATGGGAAGGTCGAGGAGTTTGTAACTGTGGTGACTGAAGCGGTTCCAAAGTTGCTGAGTTACAAACAGAGGGCTCAACTCATCCTGGGCTTGAGAGCAAGGGTGAGTGGCATGTTGTGTGGTCATGGGAGGGGTCAGTGGCGGCTCCTGAAGAAATTCTCAGGGGGGGCAATTTTTCTGATGATTTAGGTGACCTACACACATTTTAAAAAAGATATGTCCAGCAACAGAAGACAGGGGCAGCATATAAGTCAATACCAGAAGCATTTATTGACTGATCTCAAAAGTGTTGGCTTACCAGGGTTGGTGGAGCCCTCAGTTTCATCTTTGCCTCGCAAAGCTAACTCAAACACTCCGCAAAACTTCACACACTGGATTAGCCGGCTGAGGATGTGGCGGTTCTTGCTAATGTCGTAGTAAATATATTTGTTATAGTGAATATGGAATATGATATGTTGAGTAAAATGTTGTGCTAAGATCTATTTAGGTCAGGAGCTGGTTATAAGTTCTGTTCCTATCCAATAACAATGGACAAAAGGGTCCTATCTTGTCAGCCTTGTCAGCAGGTGGCCAAGGACAACACCCACGCCATAGGCCTCTCAGTTCTTCCAACTCACGAGTTCTTGCTCTGAGGACACACACACACACACACACACACAAACACACACACACACACATCATCACTGTTAAACACACACACACACACACACACACACACACACACACACACACACATCATCACTGTTAAACACACACACACACACACACACACAAAAATCCCCTCTCTTAGGCTGAACATTTGAAGACAGAGAACCCGACTCAGAGCCAATGCAACAGTGACAGTAGCCTGGAGGGGACCTCGCCCAACTCATCAGGACCAATCAGAAGATCAGAACTACTAGATTCAACCTACTTCATTTATTGCATAAAATGTCTGCACACAATGTTTCGGGGCTCTCTTCAGATAATAATAATAATAATAATAATAATAATAATATGCCATTTAGCAGACGCTTTTATCCAAAGCGACTTACAGTCATGCGTGCATACATTTTTGTGTATGGGTGGTCCCGGGGATCGAACCCACTACCTTGGCGTTACAAGCGCCATGCTCTACCAGCTGAGCTACAGAAAGTGGATACTCATGGATGCGCATCGCAATTGTAAAATGTCAACACAATTGGAGACACCACGTCATTTTTGGAGACATGTTATTGACAGTAAACTATTGTAGATGCGACTGCTAACTAAATAAAACATTTTAGCTGGCTAGCTAATCATCTTAGCTAAATGTGGGGCAAACAATTCAGTTATTTACCGTTAATTTGAGGGATTGGGGTGAAAGAAATCGAGTTACATAGTGATACTTTACGATATACTGTATTGACAATATCGCAATATTTTAGCGCTAGTTGGCTGTACCTGCACCAAAACACCATTATTGTTCCTTCATAGCTTGTTCTCAATCTTTTCACATTGGGAGCCAATTTGTTTTCAGCACTTTTATTTCCATGACTGATGAAAACTCGTTCTCATGGCTTTCTGATCCCTCTGCAACAGACATATGGTGCGCAATAAAATCACAGTATCGAATCGCAATACGTATAGAATCATGAGACTCGCAATGCTGATGCATATATCTTATCGTGAGGTTCCTGGCAATTCCCAGCCCAAGTTCATTTGCCACAACAAATCTCTTCGCTAGCAAACGCGATGTCTTCTCCAAAATGGCAATGTGTCTCCAGCAATGTTTACTTTTTTGACGTTCTATGGCATCTCCACTTTCCAAGCATATATGACCACATGTAATATTTTGGTAAGTGATGCAAATAGTGAACTATGTAGGGCCAGGATGTAAAATATATGTAGCTGCAGCAATTTCTCTTATCTGATATGGTAAGTAATGGGGCTTAATTTATAGCTCCCTAAGAGTTTGACGAACGGGTCCGTGCACGCGATTCCAGATATCTTTACCTCTGAATAAACTGCCTTTATTATACCATATCCACCCTGTCCAAAGTCTCTACTTGGTCTCAGTTCTCCAGTAAACTTGTGATTATCAACACTAACCTCATCGTTGTGGCGGCGGACAGCTAGCCTGTATCCCTCATCAAGTTGAGTGGCAATGTTATTTTTCCGTTCGTACCAATTTTTGGAAAATCCTCGGGTGTAGGACTTTCCGCCTTTAGTAGAAACCTGTTGAATTATTAAATTTGGTCTGGGAGGTCCTAATTGTTTCGTTGCCAATTTATCTTCATTTGTTCGCCGACAAAAAGGAACTTATTTCAAAGACACAATCCGCTCTTTTCTCAGTTACGTTCATGGTTACGTTACGTTACGTATGACGAAAGCGCGTAAGTGCAAGCCCTCAGACACCCATAGAGATTGTATTGAAGGCTCTGAAATTTGAAAAAAATAGATTTTACATTAGAGGCTATGAGAGACTAATGGGCGATTTTCAACCTGACTGAAATCGCCCCAAAAGGGGGGGGAGCCATTTGAAGCACGACTTTAGCCTGATTCGACATTTAGTGGCAGTGTGGCACTGTGGCAGATCAGACGTATAGATTACAACACTGATAACTACTGTTGCCGTGATATAATTGATTAGAAAAAAAATCCCTTCCTTTTCCCGTTTGGCAGTGCGTCGCCCATATCGCCCCATTGAATGTAAATGTAGTTGATTATGCTTTGATTGACACATTTGTGTCAATGCCAGTAGAAACTAGATGTGTGTAAGGTAGGCGGGGAAGATGCAAGTTTACTCAATATCTCCGTGATTCCCCTTATTTAGATGATCTTGGAGATGTTCCGCAAGGATTGTCCACCTAACCCTCAGGCCATCCAACGTCTCCTGGGAAAGATGAACATCAGTGCGTCCACGGGGGTAAGAATATTTTTCTCTCCTGCATACATTCAAAGGGTGTAACAGCTACTCATTTTAATTGCTTAATTCAGATAACCAGATAAGTTATACTTGTATCAAATTATTCACATTCTGTGTTACAGCAGCAAGATGCGGAAGTGGAGGAGTCGCAGGCTAACTTTGTGGCGCTGGTCCAAACCCTTCTGAAAAACCCTTATGAGAGGAAGCACTTCTTTCAGGTTTGACATACTTTCTCTCTCTCCCTTTCGTCTGATTTGCTTTTAGTGGCTCGTCATTCAGGTAGCTTTCCTCTCATAGACACTGTCACTCTTTCCTTCCCTGTAGGAGGAGTTCCATGCACAGTATGGTTCCAAGTATGACACAGCACTGCAGGCCCTTGTAGGAGGCTTGGTCTTCAGACTGGAACAACTGCTATCTGTGCCAGATCTCTCCCAGGTAATGAACTGGTACATGACAAGTCTATAACTAGCAGTTCACTGATCATACCTAGTTTTGTCATTATTAGATAACAATTTATGTCAGCACATGCCATATTATTGTCTTTACCTCAGACGCTAAGCCACCTCCCTTTTGCTGATCTTAGGTTCTTCCTCTCATTCTCAGATAGCATCTATGATCAGTGCTGCCCCCTCTGACCTGGAGGAGTGTGGACAGTCTGTGTCTGACCCTGAGCACCTGAAGATCCTCCTCCAGCACCAGAACCTGCTAAATAAAACCCAGTTCAACAAAAATGGTAGGCTTGAAAACAGTCCATAGGAAGCTTTGGAGTCTCTACTTTAATCATTATATGTTATCCTCCCTGTGTATTTACAATAGATTTATAAACGGCTAAACAAAGAACATTACAAGTTTTATTTTTGACATCTATAATTAAAGGTACAATGTGTAGAAATCGCTCAGCCATTACCTGGTTGGTAAAATTCTATAGTGTTCGCCTAGTTTCAGTTAGTGACATAACATGCAGTTTAGAGAATTGCTGTACAATATAAACCGCTGTGAAATATATTTTCAATAATCATAAATATCATATTTTTAGCTGTATGAATTTAGTTTACAAAACCTTCAATAAAAAAAGGCAAAAGCTAAACTTAAGGACGGAATGCATAGAAATAGCACGCATAGAACCAATATGCCACTTGTCAGACTTGCTTACAATGCGAAAGACAGATCTATAACTCACATTTGGTCAGGTCGCGCACAAAGCTGCATACGGGACCTTTCAGTTCATTACGAACCATTTTATGATTTTTTTAAACAGGAATGTAAATAAAAAGCCTAGTCTTTTTCATTCGCAGAATATTCTTAAATGTAATGTACTTAAATGTTTTATATATTTTATTTTTTCTCAGTACCTGTCACGTCTTCTGTGGGTGACTGTGTGCTGTCTTCGCTGTCCTTCCGCCTCGCCTGTGGAATGCCATCAATGGAGCCAGATTTTGACGAGCCACCAGAATCATTAGAAGCTGCTCTAAGCGCCATGAACCCTGCCTCCTTCAGTGACTTGGAGGATCTGGGATTGATGTCAGATGACTCGCCCCATGCTGGAGAAGATAGTACTGTGGAGAGAGAAGAGGATGCCAGGGGTAACGGAGGTGGGGCGAGAACTGCAGTACGTGACAGTGAAGAAGAGACTGCACTGCCAGAGAGCGCTGTGGTCTTCTCTAGTCCTCAAGGTGTTAGCGGACTGGTGGGAGGGGCACCATCAAAAGGGGCACCAACAGTAAGGAGTATGCTGCCAACAGAGAAACACCAACAGCTTGTATCACTGATGAGTAGTTCCTTCACCAAAGCCTCTCCTTCACAGATAGTCAAATTAGTCATCCCTGCCACGGTCACCAATGGGAACCAACCGGGTAACCCACAGGTCGAAGTAGCGAGTTTCCACCAGTGGGTTTCCCACATTGTAAGTAACTCTGTCTCACTCCCTTCCTTGCCACCCCTTCCACAAAACAATGATGTAGACAAGGAGATCCGGTCAGGTGACACATGTCTTGGAAGCAGTGTGGTAATTGGGGGTCAGGAAACAGAAGCCAATCTTTTTGAGAAGGCTGTTATCCGAAGGAGACGGGCGCCCAAACCACAAAGAATAACGCTACCCTCGAAAAGGAAAATCCCTGAGGCAACCATCATTTGTCAGGAGTGTGGGAAGAGTTTTGTTTATCCGTCTCAGCTGGAAAATCACCTCCGCATTCACACAGGAGAGAAACCTTTTAAGTGCACTGAGTGTGGCAGGGCCTTCAGGTCCTTAGGATACATGACCAATCATATGAAAAATCACTCTGAAGCACGGCCATTTAAGTGTGATGAGTGTGACAAGTGCTTTCGGAAAAAGGCTGATCTGAAGAAGCATCAGCTCATACACACGGGTGCGAAACCACACAAATGCACCATCTGTGGAAAGGGCTTCAGCCAAGCATTCTATTGCAGAATACACATCCAGTCTCATGCAAGTGAAAATAACTTTCCCTGCACTCATTGTCCGAAGAGATTCCCAACCCAATACAAGCTGTCTGTCCACGAGCGCTGGCACACCATGGAGCGCCCGTTCATCTGTGAGCAGTGTGGGATGCGCTTCTTTCATCCCAGTGGGCTGAAGAGGCACATGGGCTATCACATTGGGAACCGCCCGTTCCTGTGTGCCCAGTGTGGAAAGACTTTTGTTTATGAGTTTGACCTGAAGAAACACCAAAGGGACCATGGCCCCAAGCCCAAGATCCCATGCCCTGTCTGCCAAAAGGTGTTTGGCAGCAACGGACTCATTAAGGCCCACATGTTTACGCACACCTCTGTAAAACCTTACAGATGTGACATATGCGACAAGACCTTTAAACAGAGCAGCAGCTTGAGCAGTCACAAACGGCTGCACACGGGTGAACGCCCTTACCACTGCGACATGTGTGGGAAGACATACAAGCTGAATCAGCACCTGAAGGAGCACATCATTATCCACCACACGGAGGAGGGGCACCCCTGTGACCAGTGTGGAAAGGTCTTCAAGTTACCACGGCTTCTAAAGGCGCATGAGCGGTTGCACTCAGGAGAGCGATCTGAGCAGACAAGGAAGTACAGTCACACCAGCCGTCGCAGGAGAAATTCCTCCAAAAGGAGTTGATTTTCTGCACAGTGGCTGTCCTCCACACACAATGACTGGGATGCTAGTTTTATTGTTCTGACACAAGTTTAACTTTGTCACAATGCCATTAGCTGTAATCATGTCCTCATTTTTAGTTGTAAACTTTACAATTTTGGACCATAATCCAGGATTCCCTAGGCTGAACTTTGACAAATGGTATAATGTCTGGCTTAATTCATGCAGAAACAAACATATCTCCTGTTCAATAACAATTAATGATTGTGTCATTAAAACATATTTGTTCGTGATGTTTTTTTTGGGGATAGGTTATTGAAATTCCAATGACTTAAGATGTAAATGGATAGCTACTCACTTATTTCTCTTTTTGAGAGTAGTCAATGATTGCCGGATGCCTTTACTAAAAAATATGCACAACATTTTATGTTGGATAAAGTCAAATAAAGTCACAATTGTGTGCCACTATTCACTTGTTTTGCTATTTTAGTTTAAAACATTCACAGCAAGGGAAACCAAATGTATGCCAGAATGGTCCTGTGCGATGACTTTTTATAATACATTTAAAGTATTCATTAAGCCACAAAATACAGATTAATACTCATCCAAATATATATACAGAAAAATTATCAAATTCATGTTTTCACCTAAAATGTAATTTCAGGAAACCAGAGCACACCCATTCATTTGCGGCTCTTATTCCAGCACGATAGGTGGCGGTAATGATGCTATGCTGCCAATCTTGTTAATATTCTGGTCAAAACTCTGTTCTGGTTCCGTTTCCTTCTGTCGTTATTGCCATTTTCACACAAAAATGTGTCAGTGAGTTGATGATAGCTATCTAGTATGTTAGTTACCTTCACTGTTAGATTTCTGCATAGCGTACATATTTGTTAACATTCCGGCATGGACAAACGAGTCAAGAAGACTACAGCCAGTACGAGTAGGTTACATTATGACACTTGCTACCCATGTATTAGCAATCTAACCAATTTTACAAATGTGAACCTGGCTACAGAGCCAAGTCACTGCAGTGCGGAGCGCTAGCTAGCTAGCTACATTATCTTCAATGGATAGCTTATTGTAAAGCTAATGTGCATTTCGGCTTGCCTTCTACATTAAGTTTGCTAACTAATTAGCCATGTTGCTGGAGGTATATGTTGCTAAAGGACCTAGAGGATGAAGCCACAACTTAACATTTGTTCTATCGTCTTCCTATAGGACCCCCACTTCCTCTCTCGTCATTGCGACTGTTGGTTTCTCCCCTGCGGCTGATGTATTCATTTGTATGGCATGTGGTGAATCAACGCAATGTGATGCACTATGGGAAGGTCGAGGAGTTTGTAACTGTGGTGACTGAAGCTGTTCCAAAGTTGATGAGTTACAAACAGAGGGCTCAACTCATCCTGGGCCTGAGAGCAAGGGTGAGTGACATGATGTGTGGTCATGGGAGGGGTGGTTTTGACACATTGTGTATTAGAAAAATCATATACAATTTTGTCCCATTATTTTAGATGATCTTGGAGTTGTTCCGCAAGGACCCACCCAACCCTCAGGACATCCAACGTCTCCTGGAAAAGATGAATATGTTGGGGGTAAGAATATTTATCTCTCAAGTGTGGAAATTCTTCCCCATACCAACAAACAACTCACACCTGTAACACAACATATTCAAGAATGACTGTCAATACCATTAACCCAGAAAAACCAAGGCTGGGGCGACAGCACTTAAGAGGGTAAAATATGCGCAGTAGTCTGATTTGTAAATAGCCTGTAGCTCTGCAGTGTACAGATCTGAGGGGACTGGATAAGTTTAAATGGCATACAAGTGTTAACACCTTCCAGTGAGGTTGCGGGAGCCTTCTGCCATATGTCTTGCTTTGCTGTCACCCATCTGATTCCTTAGATCTGCAAACTACAAACATGGTTGTGGTAAGAGATAAAAGTTGTTTTCAGCCTGGTCTTATGACTTCTACAACCGTCACCCATACACTCAATACCCCTCTTTTTAATAACGTAATTCTGATGACCGAAGTGGCTGTACATTGTATCAAATGATTCTCAATCTGTGTTACAGCAGCAAGATGCAGTTGTGGAGGAGTCGCAGGCTAACTTTGTGGCGCTGGTCCAAACCCTGCTGAAAAACCCTTATGAGAGGAAGCACTTCTTCCAGGTTCGGCAGGCTTTCTCCATTTCCTCTCACACTGTCCACTTTGTCATGTCATAGACACTTACTTTAACTTTTTATTTCCTTCCCTGTAGGAGGAGTTCCATGCACAGTATGGTTCCAAGTATGACACAGCACTGCAGGCCCTTGTAGGAGGCTTGGTCCTCAGACTGGAACAACTGCTATCTGTGCCAGATCTCTCCCAGGTAATGAACTGGTACACAACAAGTCTATAACGAACAATTCACCAATCATATCTAATGTTGACATTGTTAGACAATTATATACGTGTCAACACATTCCATAGTATTGTTTCTGCCACATGCTCTAAGAAACCCCCTTGTTGCTGATGTTAGCTTCTAACTCTCCTTCTCAGATAGCATCCATTATCAGTGCTGCCCCCTCTGACCTGGAGGAGTGTGGACAGTCTGTGTCTGACCCTGAGCACCTGAAGATCCTCCTCCAGCACCAGAACCTGCAAACTAAGATTCAGTTTGGTAGGGTTACTTTAATTATTATCTCTTCTCCATGTTAATGTTTAGTGGAATTATCACATTGGAATTATCAACAGCTAAACAAAGAACAATGTAGTTTTCCCTTTTTGAGAAACTGCCATGGTTCTCTATTGATAACTTTGAACCAGCTGTATTTACAGGAATTTGAATTATTTTTTAAGTGGTATTAATCTAAACATCCGCAATACTAGGCTTTCAAATTCAACCATTAAGAATGTGGTTGAATATAAAATACTCATAGATTTTTTTTGTATTTTTCCCTTTTTCTCAGTACCTGTCACGTCCTCTGTAGGGGACTGTGTGCTGTCCTCGCTGTCCTTCCGCTTAGCCTGTAGAATGCAGTCCATGCAGACAGATTTTGTCCAGCCAGCAGAATCATTAGAAGCCGCTCTAAGCATCATGAGCCCTGCCTCCTTCAGTGACTTGGAGGATCTGGGAATGATATCAGATGAGTCGGACAATGCTGGAGCAGTAACTACTGTGGAGGGAGAAGAGCAGAATGCCAGGGATAACGGAGGTGGGGTGAAAAATTCTGTGCTCGACAGTGAAGAACACAATGCACTGCCAAAGAACGACGTAGTCTCACCTACTCCTCAAAGTGTTAGCAGGCCAGTGGGAGGGCCAACAACAGTAGAGAGCATGCTTCCAACAGAGAGACACAAAGAGCTTGTAACACTGATGAATACTTTCATCACCGAAGCCTCTCCTTCACATAGTGTCATCCCTGCCACGGTCACCGATGGGAACCAACCGGGTAACCCACCGGTCGAAGTAGCGAGTGTCCACCAGTGGGTCTCCCACATTGTAAGTAACTCTGTCTCACTCCCTTCCTTGCCACCCCTTCCACAAAACAATGATGTAGACAAGGAGATCCGGTCAGGTGACACATGTCTTGGAAGCAGTGTGGTAATTGGGGGTAAGGAAACAGAAGCCAATCTTTTTGAGAAGGCTGTTATCCGAAGGAGACGGGTGCCCAAACCACAAAGAATAACGGTACCCTCGAAAAGGAAAATCCCTGAGGCATCCATCATTTGCCAGGAGTGTGGGAAGAGTTTTGTCTATCTGTCTCAGCTTGAAAATCACCTCCGCATTCACACAGGAGAGAAACCTTTCAAGTGCACTGAGTGTGGCAGGGCCTTCAGGTCCTTAGGATACATGACCAATCATATGAAAAATCACTCTGAAGCACGGCCATTTAAGTGTGATGAGTGTGACAAGTGCTTTCGGAAAAAGGCTGATCTGAAGAAGCATGAGCCCATCCACATGGGTGCGAAACCACACAAATGCACCATCTGCGGAAAGGGCTTCACCCAAGCATTATATTGCAGAATACACATCCAGTCTCATGCAAGTGAAAATAACTTTCCCTGCACTCATTGTCCAAAGAGATTCCCAACCCAATACAAGCTGTCTGTCCACGAGCGCTGGCACACCATGGAGCGCCCGTTCATCTGTGAGCAGTGTGGGATGCGCTTCTTTCATCCCAGTGGGCTGAAGAGGCACATGGGCTATCACATTGGGAACCGCCCGTTCCTGTGTTCCCAGTGTGGAAAGACTTTTGTTTATGAGTTTGACCTGAAGAAACACCAAAGGGACCATGGCCCCAAGCCCAAGATCCCATGCCCTGTCTGCCAGAAGGTGTTTGGCAGCAACGGACTCATTAAGGCCCACATGTTTACGCACACCTCTGTTAAACCTTACAGATGTGACATATGCGACAAGACCTTTAAACAGAGCAGCAGCTTGAGCAGTCACAAACGGCTGCACACGGGTGAACGCCCTTACCACTGCGACGTGTGTGGGAAGACATACAAGCTGAATCAGCACCTGAAGGAGCACATCATTATCCACCACACGGAGGAGGGGCACCCCTGTGACCAGTGTGGAAAGGTCTTCAAGTTACCACGGCTTCTAAAGGCACATGAGCGGTTGCACTCAGGAGAGCGATCTGAGCAGACAAGGAAATACAGTCACACCAGCCGTCGCAGGAGAAATTCCTCCAAAAGGAGTTGATTTTCTGCACAGTGGCTGCCCTCCACACACACAATGACTGGGATGCTCTTTTTTTTGTCCTGACAAATTGCCATTAGCTGTAATCATATTCCTCATTTTTTGTTGTAGACATTAGATTTTTGACCATTTCGGACCATAATTCAGGATTCCCTAAATAGACTGAACACTGAAAAATGGTATAATGTCTGGCTTAATTAATGCAGCAACAAACATGCATCCTGTTCGATAACAATTAATGATTGTGTCATTAAAACATATGTTTCTGATGCATTTTTTGGGATAGGTTATTGAAATTCCAATGACATAAGATGTGGATTGATACAGTGAGGGAAAAAAGTATTTGATCCCCTGCTGATTTTGTACGTTTGCCCACTGACAAAGACATGATCAGTCTATAATTCTAATGGTAGGTTTATTTGAACAGTGAGAGACAGAATAACAACAACAAAATCCAGAAAAACGCATGTCAAAAATTTTATAAATTGATTTGCATTTTAATGAGGGAAATAAGTATTTGACCCCTCTGCAAAACATGACTTAGTACTTGGTGGCAAAACCCTTGTTGGCAATCACAGAGGTCAGACGTTTCTTGTAGTTGGCCACCAGTTTTGCACACATCTCAGGAGGGATTTTGTCCCACTCCTCTTTGCAGATCTTCTCCAAGTCATTAAGGTTGAGGCAACTCGAACCTTCAGCTCCCTCCACAGATTTTCTATGGGATTAAGGTCTGGAGACTGGCAAGGCCACTCCATGACCTTAATGTGCTTATTCTTGAGTCACTCCTTTGTTGCCTTGGCTGTGTGTTTTGGGTCATTGTCATGCTGGAATACCCATCCACGACCCATTTTCAAGGCCCTGGCTGAGGGAAGGAGGTTCTCACCAAAGATTTGACGGTACATGGCCCCGTCCATCGTCCCTTTGATGCAGTGAAGTTGTCCTGTCCCATTAGCAGAAAAACACCCCCAAAGCATAATGTTTCCACCTCCATGTTTGACGGTGGGGATGGTGTTCTTGGGGTAATAGGCAGCATTCCTCATCCTCCAAACACGGCGAGTTGAGTTGATGCCAAAGAGCTCGATTTTGGTATGATCTGACCACAACACTTTCACCCAGTTCTCCTCTGAATCATTCAGATGTTCATTGGCAAACTTCAGACGGGCCTGCATGTGCTTTCTTGAGCAGGGGGACCTTGCGGGCGCTGCAGGATTTTAGTCCTTCACGGCATAGTGTGTTACCAATTGTTTTCTTGGTGACTATGGTCCCAGCTGCCTTGAAATCATTGACAAGATCCTCCCGTGTAGTTCTGGGCTGATTCCTCACCGTTCTCATGATCATTGCAACTCCACAAGGTGAGATCTTGCATGGAGCCCCAGGCTGAGGGAGATTGACAGTTATTTTGTGTTTCTTCCATTTGCGAATAATCGCACCAACTGTTGTCACCTTCTCACCAAGCTGCTTGGCGATGGTCTTGTAGCCCATTCCAGCCTTGTGTAGGTCTACAATCTTGTCCCTGACATCCTTGGAGAGCTCTTTGGTCTTGGCCATAGTGGAGAGTTTGGAATCTGATTGATTGATTGCTTCTGTGGACAGGTGTCTTTTATACAGGTAACAAGCTGAGATTAGGAGCACTCCCTTTAATAGTGTGCTCCTAATCTCAGCTCGTTACCTGTATAAAAGACACCTGGGAGCCAGAAATCTTTCTGATTGAGAGGGGGTCAAATACTTATTTCCCTCATTAAAATGCAAATCAATTTATAACATTTTTGACATGCGTTTTTCTGGATTTTTTGTTGTTATTCTGTCTCTTACTGTTCAAATAAACCTACCATTAAAATTATAGACTGATCATTTCTTTGTCAGTGGGCAAACGTACAAAATCAGCAGGGGATCAAATACTTTTTTCCCTCACTGTAGCTACTCAATTATTTCTTTTTGAGAGTAGTCAATGATTGCCGGAAGCCTTTACTAAAAAATATGCACAACATTTTATGTTGGGTAAAGTAAAATAAAGTCACAATTGTGTGCCACTACTCACTTGTTTTGCTTTTTTGGTTGAAAACATTCACAACAAGGGAAACCAAATGTATTCTAAAATGGTCCTGTGCGTTTACTTTTTATAATACATTTTAATTGTTAATCAAGCCACAAAATAAAGAGTCATACTCATCCAAATATATATACAGAAAAAATTATTACATTCATTTTTTTTAAACCTAAAATGTAATTTCAAGAAAAGAGAGCAGACCCATTTAATTGCGGCTCTTATTCCAGCACGGTAGGTGGCGGTAATAATTTTATGCTGCCTATCTTGCTTTTAATAGTCTGCTGTTCTGGCTTTGGTTCCGGTACCATCTGTCGTTGTCGCAATTTTTCGTCAGTGCATGTTGATGATAGCTATCCATCATGCTAGTTACCTTTACTGTTAGATTTCTGCTTAGCGAACATATCTGGTAACATTCCGGCATGGACAAACGAGTCAAGAAGACTACAGCCAGTACGGGTAGGTTACATTATGACACTTGCTACCCATGTATTAGCAATCTAACCAATTTTACAAATGTGAACCTGGCAACAGACCCAAGTCACTGCAGTGCGGAGCGCTAGCTAGCGACTTTATCTTCAATTGATAGCTAAGTGTAAAGCTAATGTCCATTTTGTCTTGCCTTCTAAATTAAGTTAGCTAACTAGTTAGTCATGTTGCTGGAGGTATATGTTGCTAAACGACCTAGAGGATGAAGCCACAACTTAACATTTGTTCTATCGTCTTCCTATAGGACCCCCACTTCCTCTCTCGTCATTGCGACTGTTGGTTTCTCCCCTGCGGCTGATGTATTCATTTGTATGGCATGTGGTGAATCAACGCAATGTGATGCACTATGGGAAGGTCGAGGAGTTTGTAACTGTGGTGACTGAAGCTGTTCCAAAGTTGATGAGTTACAAACAGAGGGCTCAACTCATCCTGGGCCTGAGAGCAAGGGTGAGTGACATGATGTGTGGTCATGGGAGGGGTGGTTTTGACACATTGTGTATTAGAAAAATCATATACAATTTTGTCCCATTATTTTAGATGATCTTGGAGTTGTTCCGCAAGGACCCACCCAACCCTCAGGACATCCAACGTCTCCTGGAAAAGATGAATATGTTGGGGGTAAGAATATTTATCTCCTGTGTGTCAGTGTGGAAATTCCGCCCCATACCAGCACACAAACTCACAACACACTTGTTCCACAACATACTAAAGGATTACTGTCAATACCATTGGCGGACGACTACTTAAAAGAGAGTAACATTTGCACCCTAGTCTGATTTGAAAATAGCCTTTAGCTCTGTAGTGTACAGATCTGAGGGGACTGGATAAGTGTAAACGACATCGGATTCCTTAGATCTGCAAATTGCAAACACAGATGGGGTAAGAGATAAAAGTTGTTTTCAGGCTGGTCTTATGACTTCTACAACCGTCACCCATGCACTCAATACCCCTCTTTTTAATAACGTAATTCTGATGACCGAAGTGGCTGTACATTGTATCAAATGATTCTCAATCTGTGTTACAGCAGCAAGATGCAGTTGTGGAGGAGTCGCAGGCTAACTTTGTGGCGCTGGTCCAAACCCTGCTGAAAAACCCTTATGAGAGGAAGCACTTCTTCCAGGTTCGGCAGGCTTTCTCCATTTCCTCTCACACTGTCCACTTTGTCATGTCATAGACACTTACTTTAACTTTTTATTTCCTTCCCTGTAGGAGGAGTTCCATGCACAGTATGGTTCCAAGTATGACACAGCACTGCAGGCCCTTGTAGGAGGCTTGGTCCTCAGACTGGAACGACTGCTATCTGTGCCAGATCTCTCCCAGGTAATGAACTGGTACACAACAAGTCTATAACGAACAATTCACCAATCATATCTAATGTTGACATTGTTAGACAATTATATATACAGTGGGGAGAATAGGTATTTGATACACTGCCGATTTTGCAGGTTTTCCTACTTACAAAGCATGTAGAGGTCTGTAATTTTTATCAAAGGTACACTTCAACTGTGAGAGACGGAATCTAAAACAAAAATCCAGAAAATCACATTGTATGATTTTTAAGTAATGAATTTGCATTTTATTGCATGACATAAGTATTTGATACACCAGAAAAGCAGAACTTAATATTTGGTACAGAAACCTTTGTTTGCAATTACAGAGATCATACGTTTCCTGTAGGTCTTGACCAGGTTTGCACACACTGCAGCAGGGATTTTGGCCCACTCCTCCATACAGACCTTCTCCAGATCCTTCAAGTTTCGGGGCTGTCGCTGGGCAATACGGACTTTCAGCTCCCTCCAAAGATTTTCTATTGGTTTCAGGTCTGGAGACTGGCTAGGCCACTCCAGGACCTTGAGATGCTTCTTACGGAGCCACTCCTTAGTTGCCTTGGCTGTGTGTTTCAGGTCGTTGTCATGCTGGAACACCCAGCCACGACCCATCTTCAATGCTCTTACTGAGGGAAGGAGGTTGTTGGCCAAGATCTCGCGATACATGGCCCCATCCATCCTCCCCTCAATACGGTACAGTCGTCCTGTCCCCTTTGCAGAAAAGCATCCCCAAAGAATGTCGTTTCCACCTCCATGCTTCATGGTTGGGATGGTGTTCTTGGGGTTGTACTCATCCTTCTTCTTCCTCCAAACACTGCGAGTTTAGACCAAAAAGCTATATTTTTGTCTCATCAGACCACATGACCTTCTCCCATTCCTCCTCTGGATCATCCAGATGGTCATTGGCAAACTTCAGACGGGCCTGGGCATGCGCTGGCTTGAGCAGGGGGACCTTGTGTGCGCTGCAGGATTTTAATCCATGACGGCGTAGTGTGTTACTAATGGTTATCTTCGGTTCTGGGCTGATCCCTCACCTTCCTCATGATCATTGATGCCCCACGATGTGAGATCTTGCATGGAGCCCCAGACCGAGGATGATTGACCGTCATCTTGAACTGCTATCATTTTCTAATAATTGCGCTAACAGTTGTTGCCTTCTCACCAAGCTGCTTGCCTATTGTCCTGTAGCCCATCCCAGCCTTGTGCAGGTCTACAATTTTATCCCTGATGTCCTTACACAGCTCTCTGGTCTTGGCCATTGTGGAGAGGTTGGAGTCTGTTTGATTGAGTGTGTGGACAGGTGTCTTTTATACAGGTAACGAGTTCAAACAGGTGCAGTTAATACAGGTAATGAGTGGAGAACAGGAGGGCTTCTTAAAGAAAAACTAACAGGTCTGTGAGAGCCAGAATTCTTACTGGTTGGTAGGTGATCAAATACTTATGTCATGCAATAAAATGCAAATTAATTACTTAAAAATCATACAATGTGATTTTCTGGATTTTGGTTTTAGATTCCGTCTCTCACAGTTGAAGTGTACCTATGATATAAATTACAGACCTCTATATGCTTTGTAAGTAGGAAAACCTGCAAAATCGGCAGTCTATCAAATACTTGTTCTCCCCACTGTATGTGTCAACACATTCCATAGTATTGTTTCTGCCACACGCTCTAACAAACCCCCTTGTTGCTGATCATAGCTTCTAACTCTCCTTCTCAGATAGCATCCATTATCAGTGCTGCCCCCTCTGACCTGGAGGAGTGTGGACAGTCTGTGTCTGACCCTGAGCACCTGAAGATCCTCCTCCAGCACCAGAACCTGCAAAATAAGATTCAGTTTGGTAGGGTTACTTTAATTATTATCTCTTATCCTCCCTGTTAATATTAAGTAGAATTATCATCAGCTAAACAAAGAAGAATGTAGTTTTCCCCAAACTGTCATGGTTCACTCTATTGATAACTTTGTACCAGCTGTTTTTACAGGAATGTAAAATAGTTTTTCAATGGTATTAATGTAAACATGCTCATTCCTTGGCTTTCTGTATTCGTCCCTTTTTCTCATTTTATGATTTTTTAAAACAGGAATGTAAATAAAAAGCCTAGTCTTTTTAATTCGCAGAATATTCTTAAATGTAATGTACTTAAATGTTTTATATATTTTATTCTTTCTCAGTACCTGTCACGTCTTCTGTGGGTGACTGCGTGCTGTCCTCGCTGTCCTTCCGCCTCGCCTGTGGAATGCCATCAATGGAGCCAGATTTTGACAAGCCACCAGAATCATTAGAAGCTGCTCTAAGCGCCATGAACCCTGCCTCCTTCAGTGACTTGGAGGATCTGGGATTGATGTCAGATGACTCGCCCCATGCTGGAGAAGATAGTACTGTGGAGAGAGAAGAGGATGCCAGGGGTAACGGAGGTGGGGCGAGAACTGCAGTACGTGACAGTGAAGAAGAGACTGCACTGCCAGAGAGCGCTGTGGTCTTCTCTAGTCCTCAAGGTGTTAGCGGACTGGTGGGAGGGGCACCATCAAAAGGGGCACCAACAGTAAGGAGTATGCTGCAAACAATGAGACAGCAACAGCTTGTATCACTGATGAATACTTCCATCACCGAAGACTCTCCTTCACAGATAGTCATCCCTGCCACGGATAACCAGCCAGTCGAGCTAACGAGTGTCGACCAGTGGGTCTCCCATATTGGAAGTTACACTTTATCGCTCCATTCCTTGCCACCCCTTTCACAAAACGATAATTTGGACAAGGAGATGGAGTCGGCCGACACAGGTCTTGGAAGCAGTGTGGTGATCGGGGGTCAGGAAACAGAGGTCGATCTCTTTGAGAGATCCATTATCCAAAGGAAGAGGGTGCAAAAGCCACTACGAGTAGCGTGCTCGAAAAAGAGAAACCCTGCAACCAACTCCTGCCAAGAGTGTGGGAAGCGTTTTCTGTCTCGGGGACGGCTGGAGGATCACCTCCGCATGCACACCGGAGAGAAACCTTTCAAGTGCACCGATTGTAGCAGGTTCTTCAGGACATTGGCACTCCTGACCAACCATACGAAAATTCACTCTGACGTGCGGCCCTTTAGCTGCGACGAGTGCGGCAAGTGCTTTCGGAGAAAGGTTGGCCTTCAGAATCACCATCGCGTCCACACGGATGCGAGACCATACAAATGCACCATCTGTGGAAAGGGTTTCACCCAATCACAGTACTGCAAAAGACACATGGATTGTCATACAAGTGAGAATACCTATTTCTGCACTCATTGTCCAAAGAGTTTCCCAACCCAATTCCAGCTGTCTGCCCACCAGCGCTGGCACACCATGGACCGCCCGTACGCCTGTGAGCAGTGTGGGTTGCGCTTCTTTATGCCAAGCTTGTTAAAGAGGCACATGGGCTATCACATCGGGAACCGCCAGTTCCTGTGTGCCCAGTGCGGAAGAACCTTTGTCTATGAGTTCGACCTAAAGAGACACCAAAAAGACCATGACCCCAGTCCCAAACTCCCCTGCCCCGTCTGCCAGAAGATGTTTGGCAACAACAGCCTACTCCAGGCCCACATACGCAGGCACTCTTCAGAGAAACCTTACAGATGCGACATATGCGACAAGACCTTTAAAGACAGCGGGGGCCTGCGCATACACAAGCGGGGGCTGCACTCGAACGAACGCCCTTACAGCTGCGATGAGTGTGGAAAGACTTACAAACTACACACGCACCTGAGGGAGCACAAGTTTAAACACACAGGGGAGGGCCACACCTGTGGCCAGTGTGGAAAAGCCTTCAGGTACCTGCGTCTCCTGAAGGCGCACGAGCGGTTGCACTCCGAGCCATCTGAGCTCACACGGAGAAACAGTCACACCAGCCGTCGAAGGAGACATTCTTCCAAAAGGAGTTTCCCGAGTGGCGCAGTGGTCTAAGGCACTGCATTGCAGTGCTAGCTGTGCCACTAGAGATCCTGGTTCGAATCCAGGCTCTGTCGTAGCCAGCCGCGACCGGGAGACCCATGCGACGGCGCACAATTGGCCCAGCGTCGTCCAGGGTAGGGGAGGGAATGGCCGGCAGGGATGTAGCTCAGTTGGTAGGGCATGGCGTTTGCAACACCAGGGTTGTGGGTTCGATTCCCACGGGGGGCCAGTATGAAAAAATATATATATTTTAAAAAATAATGAATGCACTCACTAACTGTAAGTCGCTCTGGATAAGAGCGTCTGCTAAATGACTAAAATGTAAATGAGTTGATTTTTTTCACATCAATATACAACAGTATTAAACTTTGTCACAATTCCTTGTCATTAGCTGTACGGTCATGATGTCGAGCAGCCCAGCCTCCAATTGTATGCAAGGGTTCCTCTGTGTTATCTTAGGAATGCTGCATTATCTCCCCATCCCCCATTCTGTCACATCTCTGTGGTGCAGAGGTGCGACGTGATGGGGAGATGATTGACCTGAACAGAGAAGAGGGGCTCTGCTGTTCAGGACTGCTGCTCACTGAGTTTAGCTTCCTCCCTCTATGGTCCTCCCCCACTGAACAGACATACTGGGACTCTACAGGCCCTTACTACATGATACACAGCATATCCAGTATAGAAGGCTTTCCCAACTGGCGGGCCAAATTTGGTTTTATTTGGCCCTTCAAGTGTTCTAAAAATACGTGTTTTTTTTGTTTAGTTTTCATTGTTGGACATAAGACTGTAAAAATACCAGGAAGTCAGCTCCAAGGGATTTTAATTTTGGAAATCTGTTCCCAAGTATTCCCTCACATAATAGAGACGTGATCGTATACAAATAATAATTACGAGTAATTGATTGGATTTATATAGCACTTTTCTACCAACTGAGGTACTCAAAGCTTTACATAGTAGGGGGAAATTCACCTCATCCACCATCAATGTGTACCACCCACCTCAGTGATGCATGGTGACCATTTTTGTGGCAGAACTCTCACCACATCAGGTGGAGAGGTGAGGAGTGATATATGCCAAGTAGGAATGAAGGGGATGATTAGGTGGCCATGATGGAATGTGGCCAGGTTGGAAATGTAGCCATGACACCGGGGTGAACACCCCTACTCTTACAATAAATGCCATGGGATTTTGAATGAACACAGTCAGGACAACCGTTTTAATGTCCCATCCGAAAGACGTCACCCTACTACGCAGGACAATGTTCCCAAATGTAATCAAGGTTTGAAATGATTGTTTTAGTCAAATATATCTGTTTAGACTTCTTGCGGTAAATTTGCAGTTCTAGTTGATGATCCCTGCAGTAAGGGTCTGAAGTCATTTCAAATCATGGGATGTCATACATAGTCTGTTTTGGAGGGGGTACCAGCATTACACATAGTCTTAACAGCCATGCATACAAAACAGGTTATGCATCTGAAGGCGCCCAGAAAACCTGTGGACCTGCAATTCATAAAGTAAATCTGTGGAATTATGTTCAGTGAGGTGTGTTAGGTAAACCAGTAAAACAACCTCCACTGACAGTTAAAATATGCTCTCAAGAGAACGTGCTTTTAATCTTTTGTCTTGGATCAGGATTGGGGATCAATTACAGTTCAATTCAGGAACTTCCTAATAGAAAATAATTTCAGTTACTGACTGAATTGAAATATAATTGACTCCAACCCTGATTTGGGTACAGGCTCATGGCTTCTCCTGCAGTGTAATTGACTCCAACCCTGATTTGGGTACAGGCTCATGGCTTCTGCAGTGTAAGCACCAGAGCGATTCAGATTCAGTGTGTAATAGTCACATGTACAGGGTTGCAGGTGTAACTACGGGGTACAGTGAAAATCTTAGGGTCCGAACTCCAAGAGTGTAGTTCTTCAATTTGTGCTGCTTCTATCGCAATGTTCTTGCTAAATTAAAAAGCTTATAGGCTACATTGATTTGTGTTGTTTATTTTGGACATAAAACAGTCCAAATAAGTACGTGCCACACATTTCCTGTTGTGCAACATTTCTTTCCTGTAACTGCCTTTTAAACCTTGAGAGAGAGAGTTTTTTTTCTCCAGATGCATCATTACCTTTCTTGGAGGCACATCGGAAATTTGTGAACATACGTGTTATGGCTATGCTTGAGTTGTCATTGATGTTTGTTTTATTATGAATCATGACATTTATCAGGTGGATGTTAGTTTGCCTCATCAGTCTTTTGATATCAACAACATTTTGTGGTAAGCAATACACTAAGTTAATATTGTTTTAATAGTGATGGCTAACCAGATTGCAACAGATGTCTAATTTTTCTGTGTGAAATCTTGGATCACTCCATAAAAATGAATTACAGACTTATCTATTTTGGAATGTATTTCACACATTTCTCTGGCAAACAATAGTCAACAAAACTACAGTTGCAGTCATCAAAACTAAGAAAACCTGTGCGCGCACACATTTGTAATTCTGGAAACTGGAAGCATCTACCTGTGAGGGAAATCTAATAGGCTAGGTCATCCATTCTTTATGCATGGCGAAAAAGAGCTACGGTACCCTACTCTACTGCGATGCAGGTCCGACTGAATTCCAGCCGTCTTTGTGAAAATATGTTTCTTTGTTCTACATGAATACGTTATTTTTCAGAATTGAACAGATTACATTTTGATCTTGTTGAGTGTTGTTCTCCCAATCCCACACTCCATTTTTTGTTTAATCTCATGTCATTCCTCATGCCCTGTGGTCCTAAGAGAAAGAGCAGTGAGTCTGATAGTCATTTATTTTGAAATCATAAAAAGTATGAATGACTAATAACACTATTTTGATTTATTACACATGACTTAAATGGTCACATGCATTCCTCATACGAACAAAAGGTCAGGATTCAATTAAATCAACAGTAGGCTTAAGCCATGTTGGCCAACAAACACACAGCCTTTCATTGCTATTGTTTAGGCTGTTAGGTGAGTTGCTGTTGTGGTCTTTGTCATGAAACAACACCCGTGCTTATATCCCACCCACGTTAGAAGTTCTGAACGAGAAAGTGTAGGCTATATAAAAATGATACTTTTTTTTTTTTTTTTTTTTTACATGATAGGGATGTATATCAGCCTAATTGAGGTGTAGATTGTGCCCTACATCACACATTCCAGTGTTCAAATTTGTAATTTCTACGAAGGTAGCCTACGCCAGGGTCCGCTTGTGGATTTGACAACTCTAAAACTAGTTACACATCTGACACCGCCTAAAAAAAAGCAATGAAAAAGCGATGCATTTGTGGGCTAACGCGGGTACGGCTGATCAGATTGAATCCTGGCTTAGAGCTGTGACCTTTTGTAAACTTCTTTCTTTTTTTTTTCATGTGATTGTTTACTCATATGAAAAACAAAACGAAAGTCCTCAAGACCAGGTTGAACTTCATTCCACAAAGATGTACCATACCATGTCCCAGTTTAAAAAAAACAACACATCAGTCTTGAAAAAACAGTATTGATTACTAAGTCAATCAGAAACAGAATGGGAAAAGTATGTTTATTTTCATGTTAACTGTGGTTCATATCTATCTCAGAGCTCCATTCTTTGGAGTTTTTGTCTATAATAGTCTCGGAACTTGGTGATCGACCACATTCTGAACAGACAACTGTGTTTGATGGAGTCATCATATCGCACTGTGACAGTGTGACTAAGAAAGAAAAGCTCAGACAGAGCTGGGTCAACCAGAGCCCACAATGGAGGGAGAGGACCTTAGATTGCTCACAGAGCCACACAGACCATGAAGTGGCTCTCTGGCAGATACGTCATATGATCAATAATAGTACAGTTGGTGAGTACTCTCTGTCTTTGAGTGGATAATTGTGTATGTAGTATTTACAATAATTGCATATATTTGATAACACAATGGGTTTAAGCATGTGGGTAGTCAGCAATTATTTGCTCAATGAAAACAATTTTCTGTGATATTGTAAGATTAGCAAAAATGGAAACCAACTTCATGAGCAATACTTTTTTTTGTTGTTGCAAAAAACAACATTCTTGTTCTCAAAGTGTGTTCAGTTACTCCCTGATATATCTGATATGCAGTTCAGTTATGGTTCATATTGCATTTACTTTTGTTTTTAAGCATCTTTGAGATTATCTGTATAATTAAAGGCACTATATAAAATACATATTATACTCACAACAAAACAATATTTACTGAGTGAAACAAAAGTAAACTGCATATCAGAAATGTGTTGTTCGACAGGAATCAAGTTGTTTTAGGATTTTCATGTAAACCTGAAATCCAGTCAGCTCAATCTTTCTTACACCATCTTTTCTAGACGTTCTTCAGAGGCAGCCTGGCTGCACTTACATCACAAATGAATCCTCCACTGGGTTTGACCAATGGGGTCTCAATGGGGAGAACTTCCTGACCTCTCAGACACGGATGTCAGAGTCTCTACAGGCAAACCCCATAGAACAGAGTTGGAACTCAAACAAAGTGAGGAGTCACATGTTTAAGGAATTTCTCCAGCATGACTGTTGCTCTTTACTCACCAATATCATGAAGACAAGAGAGGGAGCCGGCGCAATAGAACAGAAGACAGGTGAGATGGACACATACAGTCGAGCGACTATGAAATAACAAAGCCCTGCGAATGAATGTGCACAATAACAGGATTTGGTGTTGTGGAGTCACAGAGTGCATGTGAATGAATTTGCCTTCCCTGTTTGTTACAATTGTGGTATTTACATCAGTCAACATTGTTTTATTCTATGATTTTCGTAATCCAGAAGTACACATATTTGCCAAGCCCATACCTCAAAAAGAGGACGTGTCCTTAAGATGTCATGTGACAAGCACTGACCTATCAGGACTAAAGGTCCACTTGACCCAAGATAGGGCTGTGATGACAGATCGGGTCAGAGTCATTGGGCCTCTACCCAATGTTGATGGATCAGTCCTGCTGAGACTGAGTGTTGAGATCCCCACTGGCCACATGAAAACATGGTGTTACCGCTGTGAAGTACAAACAAGCACAAGCAACACCGCTGCTTTGTGGGGTGAGACATTTTCAGACAGGTAGTGAAATTAATTTATGCATGTGGTTTGGATGAATTACTATATACAGTGCCTTGAAAAAGTATACATATCCCTTGGATTTCTTCACATTTTACTGTGTTACAAAGTGGGATTAAAATGGATTTAATTGAAATTGTCATCAAGCTACACAAAATACTCTGTAATGTCAAAGTGGAAGAGCATTTTAATAAAAATAAAAAATATTATTTAAATAAATTAAATAACTAAAATATAGTTGTTGCATAAGTATTCAACTCCCTGAGTCAATACATGTTTGAAATGCCTTTGGCAGCGATTACAGCTGTGAGTCTTCTTGGGTAGGTCTCTAAGAACACCTGGATTGTGCAATAATTAGTCTATTTTACTTTTCATAATTATTCAAGCTCTGTCGGGGATAATGGCTAGACAGCTATTTTCAAGACTTACCATAGATTTTCAAGCAGATTTAAACCAAAACTGTAACTTGGCCACTCAGGAACATTCACTGTCTTTTTGGTAAGCAACTCCAGTGTAGATTTGGCCTTGGGTTGTAGGTATTTTGGTATTTTATTAGGATCCCAATTAGCTGTTGTGATAGCAGCAGCTACTCTTCCTGGGGTCCACACAAAACATAAAAACATGAAATAATACAGAACATTAATAAACAAGAACAGGTCAAGGACAGAACTACATACATTTAAAACATCACACATAGCTACATATCAGTACATACACACAAATTATCTTGGTCAAATAGGGCAGAGCCGTAGTGCGGTGTGTTGTTTTATTTGTTTTTTTTAAACCAGATTTGCTGTTCACTTTAGCAATCTGAGATGGAAGGGAGTTCCATGCAATCATGGCTCTATATAATGCTCTACATTTTCTTGAATTTGTTCTGGATTTGGGGACTGTGAAAAGACCCCTGGTGGCATGTCTGTGTGTGTGTCAGCACTGTGTGTAAGTTGACTATGCAAACAATTTGGCATTTTCAACACATTAATGTTTCTTATTAAAACAAGAAGTAATGCAGTCAGTCTCTCCTCTACTTTTAGCCAAGAGAGGCTGGCATGCATAGTATTGATATTAGCCCTCTGATTACAGTGAAGAGCAAGACTTGCCACTTTGTTCTGGGTCAGCTACAGTTGTTCTAGGTCCTTCTTTGCAGTACCTGACCATATGATTGAGCAATAATCAAGATAAGATCAAACTAGAGCCTGCAGGACTTGCTTTGTGGAGTGTAGTGTAAAAAAGCAGAGCATCTCTTTATCACGGACAGACCTCTCCCCATCTTCACAACCATTG